CTACTATCTACTCATGACCAGTAAAAGTACTCTTAATTCTGCAAAATGGAGTTGAGTGGTTTCTTTCTTGGTTACTGAGCGAAGCAGCCCTGACACATATGATTTCATAAGCATGGGACACTAATTCATAATCACAATAATTTTGGAAAGAATGGCATGGAAATGCAGATAATACATTTGCCCACTATTTTGTGTTATAAATAAATCAGATCAGTATAAAAATCAAGCCAGTAACTTAATGATGGCACAGACATTTTAGTTATAACTATTTCTCGTTCATTTAAAATACCATGAGTGCAGAAAATTCTTCTGGAACTTTTTTTTTAAATCTTCAGAAATAAACTATTCCAAAATCAGGAATGCTTACTTATAGAATAGAATATCCCATAAAGAATTGATGTGTGTTCTGTTTATATATTAACTGAAATAAAACTTAATCAGGGTATAATTTTCCGTTGCTAAGAAGTGGAAAGAGAAAGCCAATTTTGTGTAGTGTTTAAGGCAAAAAGCTCAAAGCTAGGAGACTGAGTCTGTCCCACCCTAGGCATGAAAGCCACATGGATGCCTGTGTGACAAACTTGTTGGTCAATTCCTGTGGCAATCAATGGATTAACAATTGATCGATCTGGAAAAAAAGGAACCCTACATGTACAGAAAAATGCCAGGAAGACTTTCTTAACTATTTTCCAGTTTCAGCATTAAAGTGGGTTATGTTTTCATTATTTCCTAATATAATCAACAACAAATCTCTCGTAATGTTTAGACAGGTAGTTTTCGACTTACAACCATTTTTAGTGGCCATTCAAAGTTACAACAGCACTGAAAAAAATGATTTATCATTGATTTTATCCCATTGCAGTATCTTCATGATCACATGATCAAAATTCAGGCACTTGGCTAGTAGCATGTACTTACTTTATTTATTTATGTCTTTATGATACTGTCCCGCAGTCATATGATAATCATTTGTAACCTTCCCATCTTGCTTCTGACAAGCAAAGTCAATGGGAGAAACCAGATTCACTTAATAAATCCAGTGATTTGCTTAACAATTTTGAAAAAAAAAGATTGTAAAATGGGGCAAAGCTCACTTAACTGCCATGCTCAGCAGTGGGAATTTTGGACTCAGTTGTGGTAAGGACTGTCTGTAATGATGCTGAGTGGGGATGGTTGGAGGTCCAAAACCTTCTTTAATTTTTCCACTTAATGCCTCATCCTATTTTGGTATAACGGCTTGCTAGTTCTTGCGATTAGACTTCCAGGGTGTCTTAACTTGACATCCACATAGTAATTCTCAGGTCTGGATAAGAAGAGCTTTTGTGCCTTGTATTGCCTTTATGTTACAGTCAAAAAGTGAAATAATTTCTGTAATAGCACTTCCTGGTTGTATTCCATATAGATTCATATTTCTCTCTCTTTTTCTCCCTTGGTGGATAAACTTGGTGGATAAAATCAAGCTTCATTTTTTAAAAGTGCTTTTTTAAGAAAATACGTATTATTGAGCTGTTCAAACCATGATGTTGCAAATTAGCTAAGAAATGTTTTCTGAAATGAAATACAATATTTTGATGGCCTAAAGACTGATATGGGTTGCTATGAATTAAGAATATTTTGCCTAAAACATTTCAGATCAGAAAAAGTTCAAATTATTAAAAATGACAATAAGATTCTAAGAAAAAATACATTTTCATAAACATAGCCTGAAAGCTGCAATTAAATACCAGAAAGATAAAACACATATGACCCCAAGTATGCCTGACTTTTTGCCTAAACGTTGTTGCAGTTGTTAAATGAGGTGCCCCTATGACTGCTTGCTCAGTGATTGCACTTCCACCTTCCCAGTTGCAGTTGCTAAGTGATCACAGAGGTCATTAAGAGGCTAGAATGAAAGAGCTGTCTTCTGAAAGAGGACGGGCAGCATTCCCTTGTGAATAGAAGGGAATTCCTAGTCTGTGCTGGAAAATCAAAACTCAGATCCCAAAGATCTAACCTTTCTTTCTTTAACCCAGCATGGCTGTTCTGTTTCACACATGGAGACGAGAACTGCTACACTGTGCCAGAGAAAGAAAGCTGAAATCCTTTCTCCCATGGATGGTGCCAGTTCCCTCTATATGCAAAAGGTTACAAATGCCATGGTGAAAATGAGCCATACTAAAATCCTGCTTGGTTTTCATAAAGGACTTTTTAAGTCAGCAGCAGGCTGTCATTCTGCTTTCCAAGAAACTGGCTGAAAAAGATGTGTCCCAAAATGGGTCTCAACAACCTTTTTCAGCCTGATCTCAAGAACCAGAAGGATTTCTGCAGTAGTGATATGTTTTTCCTGCAAACTTCACTATACACTTTCTGAGGTTCACATGATTGTGGAATCTTGACATCCCATTGTAAAGATGAACAGATTGCCAAGAGGCCAGATTGCATTCGTGTGATTACGAGGTATGCTGCAATGATTGTAACTTTGGATACTGGTTGTAAGTCCTTTAATTCAGCACCATCCTAATTTTGAACAGTTGCTGAATGAATTATTGTTAAGCGAGGATTAGTACAATGAAGGCAAATATACGTGCCCCACGATAATGTTGCAGGATCCAATCTGGGTCAGTCAGAGATTTTGTCTTCTAAGCTTTCGAACTCATGCTGAAGCCCATCTTCAGGGAACTTCTCTCTAGCACAGTGTGCTATATTCTGTGTATGGTATTTATAGTACCTATTGTAAGTGGATTCTTAGATGTTGATTGGAGTGTATTAATGAATACTTTTTAAGTCATTAGCTGTCATTTGCTTGTGCTTCTAAGTACTTGTGATAGGCTCATCAGCACTCCTGTTGACTGATGAGGACCTGTTTCCCAGGTTCAATCTCATTGGCTTGGAGGTGGGGGGTACTTCCAATGTAATCTACTGAATCCCTGCATGAATTGCCAATGACTATGTAGGATAGATGGGAAGATAGATTGCAGCTACTAAGATTTTTGGACAAGCAGGCATAAAAACAGCCAGGAAAGTGATTGAAGTCTGGGAAACACGCCCCTCATCGGCCAACAGGAATGTTGATTCACCACCAGACAGTCAACTACTTAGAAGATGAGAGCTGGGCAGCAAAAGCAAATAGCAATGGAAATATTGGACTCCATTACGGTTGTGGTTGACAGCTAGTGATTTAAAAGCCAGCCATTGACTTACCCCAATCAATATCTAAAAAGCCACTTACAACAGGCACTATAAATACCACACACAGAACAGCACACACATTGCTCAAGAGAAGTTCCCTGAAGATGGGCTCCAGCATGAGTTTGAAAACTTAGAAGACAAAACCTCTGGTCCAGGTGCCTGACCCAGATTGGATCATGTAACATAGCACAATATCAAAAATAGAATTTTAAAAAACTTAACACAGATTCCAGGCTTTGCATATTACTTATTTCTGCAGAAAGAAAATGTCCTGAAGTGAATGTGTCTCTTTTTAAAATTCCTGAACTTTTCCAGGTTTTTGGAGATTCCAAACTTTAATCAGAAGCTAAAATAATGAAAATCCCATTCTTTACTCAACCTTTTTCTATGAACTATGCTCGCTATGTTTTAAAAAGACAAAATCTTTAGTAAAATAGATTTTTAAATTTCACTCAGTAACCAATCCATAAAACATATTACATACTTAAAATACATACTAATTAATTAGATATTGCTGTACATTGTACATAAAAATGGCTACACAACATCTTTTCTATATGTATGTATATGTACATACATATATTAAGTGTATATATACACATACATACATGTATGTACATATACATATATATAGAAAATATTTTTTATATGCATACTTTGTATATTTGTACATACGGGAGGGGCGGGGAGGAAAGGAAGGTCAAACTATGTGTTCATATAGAGATAGCCATCTCATTCATGGGTTTGTGGATTCCAAATCTGCTACATTTGCAACAATATATACATTTATGGTGGTATTTGTTTATTTCAGATACTATGATCAACTGTGTTCCATTGAACCAAAATTTCCATTTTCTGAAAACCAGGTGATGTATTAAAGCTTTTAAATATTGTTTTGAAATGCTATATAATGTGTAAGAGAGCAGCTGACTTTGGAATAAAAAGTTGCTTTTGAATGAATTCTACACTTTTAAGTCATACTTTTCTAATTAAATAAGTGAGGCCGTGAAAACATCAGCCTTGGACAAGCATCTATTATACAGTGTGAGTACTCTTTTGGATCACAAGGATACATATCAACCACAGTTTTAGAATATGTTAGTTTCCCAAGAAAATTTCAGTATGTACTTAACTCTACAAAAATTAAGAATAGTTCAATTAATTGAATTGCATAAATGTGTATTGTTTTAAAACAAAGACTCTACACCCAATTCTGGTTATAACAATAAAATAATTGATGTAAAAGGAATTTCAAATATACCCATTTCTTTACCATACATCAAATTTTCTCATAAAACTTCCTTGTATCTGTATGTATTATCAGATAATGATAAGGTGCAGCTTTTTACTGTTTTTGACATTTGTATTTCTGCTTAAGGAAAGTTTTTGGAACATTTACATCTATCTTAAGGCTAGAAATTAATTTACTGTTTTTATTTATATTTTTAGATCTGTGTAACTTTTACCTGGAAAGATGCCTTTGACAAGGGGTCACTGTTTGGCGGATCTGTTAAACTTGGTAATTACAGAATTCAAAATATATGAAATCTAATCTTTTCATAAGTATTCTAACTTACCATATTTTTAAAGAATTGCTTATTTATTTATTACATTTCAACACAATTCATCTCACTGATGTGACTCTAATTTAAAAGTCACTTTAACTGATTCTGCGGAAGAGACATGTGTCTTCCTTCATGAATTTGAGCATAATTTTTGTTTTTATCCTTAGAAACAAGCAGAATGGAATAATATACTTGCTTACTAAAAGATTGCTTAGTTTTAATAAAATTTTCATTGGAATGATACATATGAAATTGGTTTGTGCTAAGAAAACTACTTTCTATTGATTTTGCAAATATATTCTTCATCTTCACAACCCTAGAGGTTTTAAGTTGTTGAGGCACCTTGAGGCTACCTAACTGTGTAAATATTGTAGATCCTATCAGGTTTTTTTTTTCATTACCTACTTTCTATGCTTTATCAGTTGAAAGAAACTAGAATCAAGCCAGAACCAGAATTGAACCACATTGTCATTTTGTATTTTGATAGTCAGATTGGCATTCTTATTCCATTAGACATATATCCCAAAAGCAAACATATAAATATTGAATGTTTATAAAGAATGTACTTGTTTCCCCAAAAATACAACCTCCTCGGAAAGTAAGCCCTAGCTTGATTTAAGTCCTACTCCCAAAATAAACCCTAATTAAGACCCCACCCTCTCCAGGGTGCACAAGTTAAGTTAGGTTGGGGATGGGAGGAGGTGGAGCTGCCCTACTACTTACCTTCCAATAATTGCAGCCATACCTTGGCCCAGCAATTTCTGGAACTGATTAAGAAATCCAAGTATGCAAACACAGATAGTCCTTGAGTTACGAATATAATGGAGCCTGCCCATTCCATTTGTAACCTGACAATTCATGGGAGTGAATCTCATATCTTGAATGAGATTACTCCCTCATTTCGCGAAGGCATTCACTAATCAAATGTGAGGCTCGTTAAGTGCACATAGGGTATTTCAGGGTGTGGAAGGCCTTGGGTGGCCTTCTGATAGAATAGGCTATCTGCCTAAGGCCACCCGAGGCCTCCCTGACCCATTGAAATACCTCATGCTCTCCAAATTGCTTCCCCCATGGAGCATACTACATTGGGTCACTTACCCTGTGAAGATCTAGCAAGCAGTCTCCTCTCCAGCCTTGTGTGCCCCGCCAATGCTCTGCTTGGCCCTCTGCGGGCCTTCCCTGGCCCATTGCAGGCAAAATGGAGCATCTGAGGCATGGATCCCTGGAGGCTCCATTTTGGCCTGCAACAGGTTGTGCTGTTGCAAGATTTGTAGTTTTGGGTCTTGTTCATAAACGCTAGGGCATTGATGGTTAATCTTTTTCCCATTATGTGCCAAAAGTGGAGGGAGCGCGGGGGGGGGGGTTGTCATGCATGGGTGTGTCCACACCCATAATTCTATGCGGATGATCCCCTACACACATGCACGTGTGACCTCCCCCTATGCACATGCATGCACGATTTCCACACACACACACCCGCTTTTGGCCCTCTATAGATTCGTTTTTCGTCCTCCCCAGGCTCCAGAGGCTTCCTGAAGCCTCCGGAGAGTGAAAAACAGCCCTATGGGCAACATGGAAGTTTGGGAATGGCTGAAAATGAAGGCTGATGTCAGCTGACAGGGCAACGCCTCACATGCCCTAACAAATGGCACGCACGCCATAGGTTTGCCATCACGGACTAGGGGGTGCTGGTCGCATAACTTTGAACTTTTGCTAAGGGAACTCTTGTAACCCGGGATTACAGACTCCTTGCTCTGAACTACAACTTTATCAGTGAAGGCTTTCACTTGGTTTGGAAAACTCCAAAATCTGCTGGAGAGATTATGTTTTGATCCCTTTTTGGGGAACTATTACATAAAGTGATTGTGGCCAATACCACAATTTCCTTGATCTGGAATTCTGAAGAGCCAATCTATTCTCTGGCTCCTTATTTTGCTGTGGTTGTCAGCTCCACTTCATTATTTTTCAAGAAATCAAGCTAGTTGTGTTTACCCAGAACCCATAAAGGCAAATAACACAATGATATGAATGCAATGACAATTATTTAAAATTTTTCATCTCAAATCATAAAAGTTTTATTAGCAACTAGATCACCTGGAAATCAACTAATATTAATTTTGATTTTGTTAAAAAAAGAATTGTGTATAACTTATTTAATGAATTCCATAGATCTGCAGATTCATTGATGTATGCTTATTATTGTTTTTACTTTTATTAATTACTACAGGCTCCATTACTGTTTATAGATAAGAATGTTGATTTGTATGCACTTTGTTTCAGCTTTGGCAAGTTTAAGCTATGAGAAAATATGTGTATTATTTAATTGTGGAGCATTGGCCAGTCAAATAGCATCAGAACAGAATCTTGAGAGTGATGAAGGGATGAAAGCTGCTGCTAAATTTTATCAGGTATTCTTCTCTATGGTTAACAAATTATTAGAATTTGGAAGTTGCTTTGTTTAAACATTAGGAATATATCTTTAAAAGATCAGTACCATGTTTTCATCAAAATACGACTATCCTGAAAGTAAGTCTTCCACTGATTGTTTTTTGGGGGGACTACCTCAAAACTAAGCCCTAGTGAAGAAGGTGGGTGTGGTCAGCCCAGGAGGTAATCTTCCCTTCCCCGGTCACCTTGATCCTTAACCACGGCCCATGGGTCAACTTACCCAGCAAGGGCTCCGAGTTCTGTCTCTCCGGGTGCCTGGAGATGTTTCCAGCGATGAGGCAGAAAGCCATGTGGCCTGTTGGAATTGACTCCCCCTCCTCCCCACCTCTGCTCAGCTGCTGCTGCTTGAAAAAAGGACAAAAAGGCAGGCAATTCTGAAAGATTGTGGGATGCATCTGCTTATGGTAGAAGCAAAGTGAAGTCTGTCCCTTTCAAGCAATTAAATGTCTGTGTGTGTGTGTGAGAGAGAGAGAGAGAGAGAAAGAGAGAGAGAGAGAGAGAGAGAGAGAATGGAGGGGAGTAAGAAGAATTGCAGGCAACGCTGTTTGAAAGGGTTCCCCCCCTGCTCTTGATGAGCTAGAGGCACCGCACATGCATGGTCACCTCACGGTAAGAGAAGAGTGTGTTGGAGCCCAAATACTGAGCCTTGCCAGCCTCGGAAACCAGGCTGCCCAAATCCCCAGGTTTTTTTGCAACTCGAGCAAACCACACAGCTGTCTGTCCCCAAGTAGCGTGGAGGCTTTGGCAGTATAGGCAGAAAAAGGAGTACAGGCAGGGAAAAAACCCTCCCAATTTTCCTGCCAATCACTGAAAAGGCTCCCCACTCCCCCAAGTCTTCAGCCTATGCCAGGATTACAACACTGAAGGCTGCCTTTTCTTAAGCTCAGCACAGATTAAGAAAAGGAGGACAGGCAGGAAAAATCCCCTCCCCATTTTCCTGCTGATCACCAAAAAGGTTCCATCCTGAGCTTTCAGCGTTGCAATCCTGCAATACCGCCACCTTCCTGGCACTGCTCTGGGGCTTGCACAGTGCCCGGGGCGGGGAGGCCATCAAAAGAGGCCTGTGCAACTCATGCCTGCGTCCACCTTGCCTTTGCCAGGGCAGCAAGCGTTAGAAGGGTGCTGCCTTTAGCTGGGTAGTCCCAAGCATTGTCCCGAAGCCTCCCTGCTGCTTGGTTTGGGGTGGATGGTTAGGCACCTTGCTCGAGTTGCAAACAACCCAGGGATTTGGGTGTCCTTTACATGGCCTGCAAGATCCCTGGTTTCTGAAGTTGGCGAGGCTCATCGTTTTGGCTCCGGCACACACTTCTCTTCCTGGGCGGCTGCTGCATGTGCGTGGAGCCTCCAGTTCACCGAGTCTTCTTGCTGATCTCAGCTGGTGGCAGCTGTGGCCAGATCCTGGCTGCCAATGCTGTGGGCAAGAATCGACCGTGTCGCTTCTGCTGCATGGCCACACAGATGTAGCCTGCCTCACATGGGAGAGGAGGCACTACGAGGGAGCCCATCGTATTAGCCAGGTGGGGGTTGCCTACGGAGGTGCCAGGCCTCGGGGTGCCACCCTGAGCAGATGCCGAGCTGAAGGCTGGGGAGGGTCAGTTCCCTTACCTGGTTGTCTGCCCTCCACCGTTTCTCAACATTGTGTTTGTGTGTGAGAGAGAGGGGGGGGGAGAAATGGCGGTGAGTTGCCTGCAATTCTTGTTACTCTCCTCTGTTGTTTCTCTCCCTCCCCCCCCCTCTCTCTCTCACAGACACACAAACGAACACATGCACAGACAATTTCTTGAAAGGGACAGGGTGCACTTTGCAGGCTGCTTCCACCCCCACCCCCACCCCCCGCAGCTGAAGGCTCAGCAGGAAAATAGGTAGGGGGATTTTCCTGCCTGTCCTCCTTTTCTGTGCTGAGTTTAAGAAAAGGAGGATAGGCAGAAAAATCCCCCTCCCCATTTTCCTGCCAATCGCCGAAAAGGTTCCCCCCCTCCCCCGGCAAGCCTTCAGCGTATCCCAGGATTGCAACGCTGAAGGCTCAGCAGGAAAATGCTGTTTAGAAAAGACATTCAGGCTCAGGCTCTTTTTTGGAGCCTGAATGTCCTCTGCAAAATAGCTGAGCTTGTGTGTCTTCACTAAACAGCTGATTTTGTTTTGCGAAGCTGTTTAGCGAAGACATGCAGGCTCAGCTCAGCTGTTTTGTGGAGGAGGTTCAGGCTCTGAAAGCGGTGCAGATCAGCTGTTTAGTGAGGCCATGCAGGCGCTAAGTGGGGAAAAAAATGGGAAAAATATAAGACCTCCCCAAAAGTAGGCTTGGCACCCAACTGGCTTACACTGAAACAGGATTTAGGCTAGAAGGGTTAATAGGGAATGCTAAATAGGTAATAGGAATAATAAAAAGAATTACAATACTGAATTCTAATATGTGCTATATGAATAGTTATATCCTAATGATAATTATTTGTGACAAATCCTTAATAGCCATTTTAAAGAATCATCAACAATATGTTCTCCAAATTCCAAATGTACCATCAATTTGAAAAGGTTGAGACATACTTCCTCTTCTCAACTGACTTAAATTGTATTGACATCAATGAAATTCTAACAGCCTTGGATGCAGAAATACAGTAAAAACTTATAGTAGCCTTTCTCATCCAATTCACATCCAATTAAATTAAATGCAATATGAACAGTACTTAAATAGAATGTTTATCTTTCTAGTGTTTTTCACTATAGTATTTAGCACACTTCTATAATAAAATGTATTATTTTTCCAAGTTTGCTAGTGGTGCTTTCCAGCATATTAAAGATACCGTCCTCTCTTCATTAAATCGAGAACCTACAGTTGATATTTCTCCAGATACAGTTGGTACACTAAGTCTTATCATGCTGGCTCAAGGTCAAGAAGTTTTTTTCCTGAAAGCTACCAGAGGTATGTGATATAAAGTGGAAATATATAGATTTTATAATCTTATTTTTGCCAGAAATTAAAATCATTGGAAATATTAGTATATTTATTCAAATTGGACATATTTTCAATTTCAAGTTTTAAGTGGGTGCTTTCAATTATATTGAATGCTGGAAAATTTAATGTAATTTTAAAGGTAAAGTTAAAGGTTCCCCTCGCGCATATGTGCTAATCATTGCTGACTCTAGGGGTGATGCTAATCTCCATTTCAAAGCCGAAGAGCCAGAGCTGTCCGAAGACGTCTCTGTGGTCATGTGGCCGGCATGACTAAATGCTGAAGTCGCACAGACGCTGTTGCCTTCCCACCAAGGTGGTCCCTATTTTTCTAGTTGCATTTTTTACGTGTTTTTGAGCCACTAGGTTGGCTCACTCCGTTACAGGGCATTATGGATTCGAACCACTGGACTGCCAACCTTTCGGATTGAGAAACTCAGCGTCTTAGCAATGTAATTTATACATTGCTATTCCTATAATGTAATTTAAATGTAGAAGTCAAAATATCATACAATGATTCAAGGAATTTTAATTTATTCATTTATTTAATGAACTTAAAGATTACCTGTCTATTGCTACTTTAGCTGGTGTATAATAATAAGAATTAAATTTAAAATAAATAAATAAATTGTGTGTGTGTGTGTGTGTGTGTATGTATGTATGTATGTATGTATCTATGTTGTGGCTCGGTAGGAGCCTTTGGAGCTGCTATCAGACTGACACAGAAATCTACTGTGAGTGGTTTCAGGATGGTCATAGGAGAAGATAACAATGTAGCTGGGGCTCATTAAGGATCTCCTCCTGTGGACAAAAGACTGATGGTGCCACGCCTTAGTTGCAGAAGTCAACATCGTTCATTCGTTAGTCCCGTTCCGTTCCTGGTCTAGTTCGTGTTCATGATTCAAAGAAGCACTTGGATAAGTGATTTGCTTTATGTAAACCTGGTTTGCATTTGCTGTTTAACTTTTTGCCAGAGAATTTATCTATGTTTATTTTGGGCTCGCAGCCAGCAAAAGCTGGGACTGATAAAGATATTTCCTTTGAAGTTCTGTCTGGCTGTCGTTTCTGAACGAGCAAAGTGGGGTGTCAGAACAGTTATACACACACACACACACACACACACACACACACACACAAACACATATCCATATCCATGATAGCAAACCACAATCATACTACAGTTAATAGTTAAGGCTGGACACAACAGCTACAGGTGAAACTCGAAAAATTAAATATCATGCAAAAGTTCATTTATTTCAGTAATGCAACTTAAAAGGTGAAACTAATATATGAAATAGACTCATTACATGCAAAGCAAGATAGTTCAAGCCGTGATTTGTCACTATTGTGATGATTATGGCTTACAGCTCATGAAAACCCAAAATCCACAATCTCAGAAAATTAGACTATTACATGCAATCAATAAAACAAGGATTGTACATAGAACAATATCGGACCTCTGAAAAGTATAAGCATGCATATGTACTCAATACTTGGTTTGGGCCCCTTTTGCAGCAATTACTGCCTCAATGTGGCGTGGCAAGCTATCAGCCTGTGGCACTGCTGAGGTGTTATGGAAGACCAGGATGCTTCAATAGAGGTCTTCAGCTCTTCTGCATTGTTCGGTTTCATGTCTTTCATCTTTCTCTTGACAATGCCCCATAGATTCTCTATGGGGTTCAGGTCAGGCAAGTTTGCTGGTCAATCAAGCACAGTAATCCCACAGTCATTGAACCAGGTTTTGGTGCTTTTGGCAGTGTGGGCAGGTGCCAAGTCCTTCTGGAAAATGAAGTCAGCATCCCCATAAAACTTGTCTGCAGAAGGAAGCATGAAGTGCTCCAAAATCTCCTGGTAGACAGCTGCATTGACCCTGGACTTAATGAAGCACAGTGGACCAACATCAGCAGATGACATGGCTCCCAATCAACACAGACTGTGGAAACTTCACACTGGACTTCAAGCATCTTGCAGTGTGTGCCTTTCCATTCTTCCTCCATACTCTGGGTCCTTGGTTTCCAAATGAGATGCAAAAGTTGCTCTCCTCAGAAAAGAGGACTTTGGACCACTGAGCAATAGATCAGATCTGTTTTTCTTTAGCCCAGGTAAGACGCTTCTGACGTTTGTTGTTCAGGAGCAGCTTGACAAGAGGAATATGACATTTGAAGCCCATGTCCAGGATCCGTCTGTATGTGGTAGCTCTTGATGCACTGACTCCAGTCTCAGTCCACTCCTTGTGAAAGTCCCCAACACTTTTGAATGGCCTTTTCCTGATAATCCTCTCCAGGCTGCGGTCATCCCTACTGCTTGTACATCTTTTTCTTCCACACTTTTGCCTTCCACATAACTTTCTATTAATGTGCTTTGATACAGCACTTTGGGAACATCCAACTTCTTTTGCAATTACCTTTTGAGGCTTTCCCTCCTTATGGAGGGTGTCAGTGATGGTTTTCTGCACAACTGTCAGGTCAGCAGTCTTTCCCAAGAAAGACTTGGGAAAGGTTCTATTGAACCAAGCTAAGAGACCATTTAAAGGCTCAGGAACCCTTTGCAGGTGTTATGGCTTAATTAGCTGATTAGAGTGGGACACTTTGAGCCTAGAATATTGCACCTTTTCACAATATTCTAATTTTCTGAGATTGTGGATTTCGGGTTTTCATGAGCTGTAAGCCATAATCATCACAATTATGACAAATTACGGCTTAAACTATCTTTGTATGTAATGAGTCTTATCATATATTAGTTTCACCTTTTAAGTTGCATTACTGAAATAAATGAACTTCAAATTTTTTGAGTTTCACCTGCACTCTATAACCGTAACAAATTCAATTACCATCTTTGACCAATGTATAGGATTTATTTTTATCTACATAAAATTGTTTTCTTTGATAAAAATATTTTATTTCCATAGAATATTTTCATATGGATAGATTGTACCTATCCACATAAAAATACCTGCCAACAACATTTCTCATATTGGCAATCAAAGTTTTCAAGTGTAATTTATCCTATTCATATAACTATATGAATAACTTATCTAATTTGTAAGTAACTGGTGACATACAATAGACAATAAATATATAAAAAGAAACATTTAAAAATAGAAGAATCAACATTAAAATGGAAATAATTTAAATGATTTTTAAAGATTTAAAGATACAGATAATACTGATACGTATCAGTATTGTATATGATTAACTTAGCGTACTATGCATTTCTGGATGGCCATCAAGTGATACATTCTTGCTGATGGATAGTGCAGTTCAGAATTCATACCAATACTGTATGCATTATTTGAATGCATTAATTTAAAGTGTATGGTTCATAACAGTGCAAAAATTAAAAGTTTGCAAATCTTGAAATAACTTTTAAGATTTTTAACTATTAAGATTTCTTCATAGAAGAGAAATCTCTATTCTTTGCTTCATTCAATAATTTATTCTTTGAGGGAAGCTTTTAAGAAATAATTTAGCTTTATGCATTTTCTAGAAGTTGTCGGGTTTCCAAAAAAATGCCCTAATTGATTCATGAGCCTCAAGTCAGATTTCAAAAGAGAACCAGTCATTTATTAGGAGCATTTTGACAATGCCTCTTTTGTGCAGTCAGATCTTAGCCTTATTTGAAATACAGCTGAACTTTACCTCTCTTCCTTCCTTCCCCACAGTCTGTGTCATAAATCACATTCCCTAATGAGGTGCTCCCCTCCCAAGTCTGCTGCGGTAATCTTGAGATCCGACTTTAGCTGAAAGTATGCATGGTCTGTGCTCTCCCCCCTCTCCTCACTATGACAACTTTAGGAGTTGACATTTGGTTCCCCTCACTTTCCAAAAGCAATCTGTGCGAAGCAAAAACAATTAGAGTACAAGTATAGGATTTAAGGCTACGTCCTCCTCCCAGACTTGTTTGGATGTTCTACATGGAATTTTGCTATAAGGCAATCAGCCTGGATATTTCTACTCTTTACCCAAGATGCCTCTGACAAGGAGTAGCCCTTCTACTTGATTAATCATGGAAGTTGTCTCCTGTGCGACCTCGAATCAAGGATTCATTGCACCTCATAATGGGTTTGGCCCCCTATGACCACAGGGCCCAGGGTAGTGGTCTCCAGAGTGGATCCGACCATGGGTTTTAAGAGGCTGCTATGGAATACCGGGTGTATGTTCCCTAGCAGTTGGGGCAGTTTCAATTTCACTGTGACTGGATTGATGATCTTTACTATGGGGAATGGTCCCATGAACTTTGGTCCCAGTTTCTTGCTAGGGAATATAAACCTCAAATATTTTGTGGAGAAGTAAACCTTCTCTCCCACCCAGAATGTCCATTGTAGCTCGATGTTTATCTGCCTGTTTCTTATAGCTTTGAATTAGAGTGCATAGGGATTTCAGGATGTAGAGTTTCATCCCCTTCAATGCGAGGTCATCTCTATTTGTCAAGATGTGTTGGTTGTTTCAGAACCAGGGGTCTGCTAACAGTTCAGTTTGAGTGTCATGGTTAGGTTGTTTGCTGGTTAGTCTTGCCGGTCACAGCGTTGTCATCTGGTGGTCACTTGGGCAGCTATTTGGGTAGAGGGAATGATGGCATCCACCACCTGCTCCCGTTTGCATTTGTACTGAGGCATGCGGGAGAGGGCGTCAGCTAGAAAGTTCCTTCCCCCTGGAATGTGATTTAGTACGAGGTTGAAACGGTTGAAGTATTGAATCCATTGGACTTGCTTGGGTTTCCGCGGGGTCCTGAGAGCCTCCATATTTTTGTGGTTAGTGCAGACTTCGAAAGGTTTCTTCCAACAGGTGTCTCCGGTTAGCAGTGCTCATCTCATCGGGAAAGCCTCCTTTTCCCATAAGGCCCATTGCCTCTCTGTGTCTGTGAGCTTGTAGGCGGTGTAGGTGCAGGGTTGTAAGTTTCCTTGGTTGTTTCTTTGGAGTAGCAGTTCTCCACTGCGTCTGTTTGGATCGTGAAGGGTTGCTCAGGTTCCTTTGCAAACATTTCTTTTAGTATTTTGAATGCTTTTGTAGAGATTGTCCCAGGCAAGGTTTTGTTCTTGGGCTCCCTGTCTTTAGGAGGTTTGTCATGGGTTTGGCAATCTTTGTGAAGGAGGGGATGAATTGCCTATAAAAATTCACAAACCCTAGGAAGCCGTCTGCGGGTGCGAGGGGGTTGCCAGTTAGGACAGTTTGTACTTTTGAGTGGGTCCACCTCTATTCCCTCATTTGACACTCAGTAACCCAGATAGTCTAGCCATGCACAGTGCAATTCACATTTTGATAGCTTGACGTACAGTTTGGCTGCCAGAAGTTTTTCCAGTATCAAGGGTATGTGGTTGTTCATGGTCTCCATGTAGATGAGTATGTCGTTCAGGTAGACGAGGACCCCCTTGTAGAAGCGCTTGTGCAGCATGTTGTTTATTAACTGCATGAACACTGCTGGGGCTCCCTGCAGTCAAAAAGGCATCACTTTGAATTGTAAGCTCCCTAAGAGGCAGTTGAACGCTGTTTTCCACTCATCTTCTTCCCTGTAGTATGCTTCTCTGAGGTCTAGTTTGGTGAAGACTTTTTCCTTGGCCAGATGAGATAGCATGTCCTTCATTAGGGGGAGGGGATATAGGTTGTGTATGCACATGACATTGATTCCTCCTGTGAGGGGAGAAAATATCAGTTGGAAAGTTGCAGGTAATAGGCCTAAGAGTGAGCTTGCAGGTCTTACTGAACCAAAGTTTTAAACTAATATAATTGAAAAATGTACCAGACTAATATTTCCAAATGTGCTGACTTTTGTCTGCATTTTCTGCACAGTTTATACTTTGTATGGATATATTTAGAACAAGAAGTATGGGATGGTCGGAAATGAGGAACTGAAAGTAACAAGTATCTGAGAACTTCAAATGTGCACAGGTGTTTGCAGAGAGTGACAGTCAATAAAACAGAATAAGGAAGTAAGTTGTGAAATGCGTGCAGAAAAGTATAAAAGGATTGTCTTGGGAAGAGTTCAGGACCACTGGCCGTAGCTAATCCTTGCTGGATTTAGCTATGACAGTGGACCTTATTGCAATAAGTTGCTAGTCTAATTAATGCTATGTTTGCTATTCATGTTCAAAATTGTTCATGAAACAATAAACCTCTGATCTTAAAGTAACATTTATTGCCGGTTGCTTGGGGTTTCCCTTTGTTTTTTTATATAAGACAATTTTTATAACACTCTAAAGTCCACACACAGTCTCATAGTTCTGCCTTTTTTTTCTTTGAAGAGGACTGGTGCTGTGGCTTGGCTGGCTTGATGAACCGGTTTTAGGTTTTTGTCTATGTATTTGCGCATTTCTTGCATTTCCAGGGCATCATGGTGTACAGTTTCAGTTTGGGTAGTTTTGCCCTAGGGATGATTTCGATGGGGGGGGGGGGGCAGAATGTTGCACTCGGTCTCGCTGAATATTTCTGCAAGGTCTTGATATTCCCCTGGGATCTGTTCAGTCTCTGGGGTTTCCTCAGATGTGGCTGCCAGTTGTTCTTGCATTTCCCAGGGTATCTGGGATGGTGGGCTCTTTTGGGGGGTTCCTTGCTTGGGTGGTGTTTCTGTTTGCTGGCGTGAAAGGGGTTGGGGGTCCCTTTTCTATCCCCCTTGCCACCATATGGTCGGTCCCCATTTGTTTAGCCAGGAGAGTCCCATTATGACTGCATCTATCATTTTAGGGGCTATTATGAATTGAATTACTTCCCAGTGATCTGCTAGCTCTAGTCTCACTGGTTCGGTCAGGTGGGTGGCATAGGCTCCTCCCATTAGGGACCCGTCGACCTGCTTGAACCAGATTGGGTGGGCCAGTCTTTTTGCTCTGATCTCCAGTTTCAGGGCTGTGGTCAGGTTGAACAAGCATCTAGTGCAGCCTGAGTCCATTAGGGCTTGAAAATCCCTCTGGCGTCCTGTTTTTGGAGCTGTGAGGCATATTGGAAAAATGAAAAGGTGAACTGGTCCTCTCACTATTGGGTCATTTTCGCCCTCGTCATCACTGTCATAAGATTCTGGTGACTGGTCGTTGTTGCCTGGGGTCCCCCCCCCCTTTTTCTGCATGGGGAAGCACCTCTACAGCCTGAAGGGCCTTCCAGGATGTGTGGGTGGTCCGTTTGTGGCCCCGTTCCAGTTGTGCCCTGGGTGGTGGCTCTGGCCTTAGCATCGGGGTTGGGGTCATGTACACAAATACCATGTGGTCTACCCCCCTGCATCTGTAGCATTTCAATGGACTTCGAGGGGGGCTGGGTTTGGGGCCTGCTGTGTTGCAGTGGGTCCCCATCAGTCGGGTGGTTTCAGGTCGGGTTTACCTCTCTCTTTTGTGTCTGGTGGTTTTTTCATGTCATTAGCTCACAATCCTCTGTCGACTTTTATTGCTACTCGGAACCACTCAGAGAGTCGATTTGGGATATTTTGGTAGGCAGTTACCTGGGCAATCTGCTTGTCTAGGTTTGTTCTGAAAAAATGCACTAACAGACGCTCTGGTAAAGAGGCCTTCCAATGACTCCTAAATTCACGGCTCTTTAATGGGGCGGCCCTCTGCTTTAGATTGCTGAGCTCATCTTCCGCATATAGATCCTCCTCTACCTCCTCAAATCTGGCCTCTAGCAGTTGTAGGAAATCATCTACACCTTGCAGTTTGGGGACTCTCCTCTTGTTGAGGGCTGCTAGCCATTCCCTTGCTTCTCCCTCTAGTCTCTCTGTGATAGTATTCACTATGGTTCTGGGGGATGAGTATAGTTATCATTCTGTGTGGATCTCAGCTGAGTCAAGGAGTAGGGCTATCTGGTCTGAGTCCTCATCAAACATTCCCCTGAACCAGGGTGGTTCGATCAGCACTGCCTCTCCCTCCTCCTATTGGCCTCTGTATGCTTGTGCTTGATATGTCTGGCCATATTCCTCAGCTCTAGTTTGGAGGGAGGGAGGAGATTGTCTGCCCTGGGCAGCCTGCCTACTACATGGGAGAGGCACTGGTTTCATCCCCCTTCTCATGGGTGGAGAAGGGGGGCTGCATTCCCATCTGCTTCTTATCACCTCAAGAGGATCCACTGCTGCTCCTCTCTCTTTTGGCCTGCATAATGGCCTATCTTCACGAATGGTGGCCCAGTCAAATTCCTCCCTCCGTTGCTCTATGGAACTCCCCAGGGGCTCCATCAGGCTTTTGAGAGCTTGGCTTGGTTTCAGTCCAGCATCCACTCTACTCTTCCCAACTCACTCAGGGCCCTTCTCTTTTTCTGGGTATTGGGGTGGGGAAGCTCAGCTTTAGCTGCTTTAGGGGCTGAATACTCATCTCCTCTTGCTTTGCCCATCTTGGCTTTGATGTCTGAAGTCAGGCTGCACTCTGGCTGCAGTCAGGCTCTCTTCAGCTAGCTGGCCCTCTGCCATGGTTGCCTGAGTTTCCCTCCAGGCACCCCTTATATCGGGGAAGCAATTGAAGAGTCCAGGACTCAGAAGACCTGGTAATCTTGATAGATTTTTAAAAGCGGACCTGACTGTCTGTCAGGTTTCCTAAAAATGCCCTAATTGATTCATGAGCCTCGAGTCAGATTTCAAGAGAAAACCAGTTATTTATTAGGAGCATTTTGGCAATGCCATTTTTGTGCAGTCAGATCTTAGCCTTATTTGAAGTACAGCTGAACTTTACCTCTGTTCCTTCCCTCCCTTCAGTCTGTGTCATAAATCACATTCCTCAATGATGTGCACCCCTTCCAAGTCTGCTGCAGTAATCTGAGATCCGACTCTAAGCGAAAGTATGTGTGGAATGCTCCTCCCCCTCTCCTCACTATGGCAACTTTAGGAGTTGACAGAAGTCTTGTTTTCAAGCAAAAACTAAGTAATATTTTTAAAAATAATATTGTATACAGTTCTATATTGTCGCTGTTTGATTTACAAAAATAATGGAGAACTTTAACTTCTGGTAACAGTATGTGTAGCTCACTGATTTTGCTCATATAAAAATACTGGATCAATTTTTCAAAACTGACATATGTTTTTTTTTCTGTAGATAAAATGAAAGATGCAATCATAGCTAAACTTACAAATCAAGCTGCTGATTACTATGGCGATGCATTCAAACAGTGCCAGTACAAGGATACCTTACCCAAGGTTGGTAATTTAATGCTGAAGGCAGCAGAAAAGGAGTACAAATATGATACATGTTGAGATAGTTATTGATTTGAAGCTATCAGTGACATTTTCAAATATTTTATGATCCTTGCTTGATATTTGGCTTGTGGAATGAGATGAAAAGATGCAGTTAATTTCGAATTACAGTTTGTGAAACCAGTATATGATTCCCAGTACCTCTTAGGAAGCATGTAAATCCATTCCCAGTTTACCACTTTTAATCTACAAGTATATCGTATAAGAAATATAAGTATTGTAATTAAATATAACATGGGATGCTTGTGACTGTTTTTCTAGGTACATTGTTTATTTCTTCTTTTAGTAAATGTAGTTTCAACTTAACACACTTCTTAATTAGTTCAATCTTCTCTGTTCTTAATGTGACCAAGGAAATTAATATTGGTTTGGTCCAAATTAATATTGAGGATGTTACTGCTTTATTTTGTTGCTTTTAGAAACACAACAGAAAACAGAATGCCAAATGAGCTCCTTTAGAATATATTTATATTCACATTCTGAGTTATTTGATTGCTTGAATCAGTATGAGTTTTTGCAAATAAAAATTCAGTGTATTCTTATTTATATGTGCTACTTTTGTATATCTCATTTAATTTGTGATATAATTAATTATGTTTTTTTTAAGTAATAAGACTATATTGTGGACATTGACCAGGAGATTGATTCTTTTGCTACATCCCATCATCTTTTTGTATATTGGGAGACACACCAGGGCTGATTTGGGTCTTAAAAGATGCAGTTGGGAAAAGAGTGAAGAAAATTTCTCAACTTTTTGTAGTCTTTCATAATATAATACTTTGGTTAAGACAATTTACTGTTGTATTTAATTTTGGAAAAGCTATATAGTGAGCTATCAGAGTGCTTCATTTGGCATGTGTATAAGCAGCACTGCATTGTTCAGTTGAAAATATCAGTAATTTACTACCACTCTTACTTCATAATATATCAGTATTGCAATATAGAGTCACCTTGCAAGGAAAGGGAAATGGGAGGGAAATAAATTTAATAATAATAACAACAACAACAAATAAAGTAAAGAACAAAAATCTACTGAAGGCCCAACAGACGAAACAAGAATACAGAAAAGATGTGATAAAATCAAGAATGAAGAGTTGGCAGAACAAAGCACTGCATGGCCAATTTCTGGAAAAAATAAAAGATAAAGTGGACAGTGAACAAACTTGGTTATGGTTAACAACAGGTACATTAAAGAAAGAAACAGTCACTAATCCTGGCTGCGCAAGAACAAGCTATCCGCACAAATGCCATTAAGGCCAAAATCGAAAAATCTTCTGATGATGCCAAATGCAGACTTTGCAAAGAAGCTGATGAAACTGTTGATCACATACTCAGCTGCTGTAAAAAAATCGCGCAAACTGATTATAAATTGCGGCACAATTCAGTAGCGCAAATGATCCATTGGAATTTGTGCAAAAATTATAATATTAAAACAGCAACAAACTGGTGGGAACATCAGCCTGAAAAAGTCACCGAAAATCAGATGGTCAAGATCTTGTGGGATTTCCGTATACAAACGGACAAAATACTGGCGCATAATACACCAGACATCACACTGGTTGAGAAAAACAAGGTTACAATCATAGATATTGCAATACCAGGTGATAGCAGGGTCGCCGAGAAGGAACATGAAAAAATCGCAAAATACCGGGACTTAAAAATAGAAATTCAACGATTATGGCACAAACCAGCAGTGGTAATTCCAGTGGTAATTGGCACACTGGGTGCTATTCCAAAAGCACTGGAATTACATTTAAAACAGTTAAAAATTGACAAAATCACCATCAGTCAAATGCAAAAAGCCGCACTGCTTGGATCTGCACGCATATTACGAAAATACGTTACGATGTCCTAGGCCCCTGGGTGGGGCCCGACTAGTAACCAATGCCAAATCTGGCAAAACAACTGGCCGCTGTGATACAATTGTATAATAACAACAACAACAACAACAACAATAATAATAATAATAATATGGCTTTTCACTGCTGATCAACTGTGAACATATTTATACAGTTTAAATATCTTTAACTTTTCAATATATTAAGTAATGATTCTCAATCATTTCTTATTTTATTTCACAGCTAAAGTATGTAAAGTGTAAGATTTATTAACAATCAAACTTGTACCTGCTTAAGGCAAAAGGTTAGAAAGAAGAAATCATGAGTTCAAGTGCCAACTTAGCTATAAAAGCCAGTAACCTTGGTCCAACCATTATCTTTCCTCCCCCCCCCCACCCCAGTGAAATAAAATAATTGATTAAAGTGGGGGGGATCAAGTTTACCAACTTCTTCCGATTTAAATTTTTTATTGAGTTATAAGATGAAATAAGATACAATATATGAAAATAAATTGGAAAGCAATGGGGAGGAAGAGGGGGAAGAGAAGTGAGGAAGGATTAGGAAAAAGAAAAAGAAGCATTGACTTCTGACTCTGTTGCAGTAAAATAAGGCATTAACATCAAATCACATCTTTTTGTTTTTTCATAATAATATAAACTAGCCTTTTCTATAAGGATCTATCAGTTTAATCAATAAAATCCAAAATCAAAGTTTCATTCTTTTCCACATCAAGCACAAAGTTCAGAAACAGTCTCCATGTGGAAACAAAAGTACTTATATTCTTTTCTTTAATCAAAATATCAATGTTGCCATTTCAGCCAACTCCCATCAACTTCTGCAACCATTTGTCCATGGTAGGAATAGAGGTGTCCTTCCATTGTTGTGCATACAATAGTCTTGCTACTGTCAACATATATAGTAACAAAGTTTCAATTTTTTTAAGGGCTTTTTCCATTGGATTCAAAAGGAAAAATTTTGGTTTCACCTTTATCTTCATTTTCAAAATTTTCTGTATTAAAAGATGAATCATACTCTGAATTTTTTTTGCTTTATCGGATGTCTACCATAAACGATAAAAAGTCACTTCTTTACTTTTACACTTCCAACATTCATTTGACATACCTTTATACATCTTAGATAACTTATCTGTTGTTAAATACCAGTGATACATCATCCTATAGAAATTTTTCTTTTAGATTATAATTTAATGTAAATTTTAAACCCTTCATCCACGTATTTTCCCATTGTTCGAGCATTGCATTATATCCCAAATTCCTTGCCCTCTGAATCACACAATCTTTTACATACTCATTTTCCAAATTCAATTTCAATAACATTTTATACATCTTAGTGGTACGTTCATCATTTCCATATAATAAAATTTCCAATTTATTTTTAACAAAGTCAAATGCAGAACACTTTTTTTAATTAACAAACATGTAAATTACACACACACAAAACTTAGACGTACACCACATTTATACAATACAATACGAACAGGAGCTTCCTGTTCTTTATAATAGCAATTATCAATCGATACCACTCACCTTATATTATTTCACCTTCTATTGTATTTCATTTAGCAATAGCAATAGCAATAGCA